GTATTAAGATACCTGTATGAAGAGGACACAAAGTGTGTGGGAATAAAGGAAGTGGATATTAGTAATTTGAAGTCATAATTACAAAAGAAAACTGTCATAAAGTTTTAACACCCCAAAATAATGTATTGTTTTTGTAACAACTTAGGGGGGAGGGAGAACTGTCACTACAAAACCTTAAGAATATGACATGAGAAAAACTAAAGTTGGAAAATGTTGGTCCATGACTAACAGCCTCTTCTATCATTTCCACAGAATATACAAATAGTGAGTAAAGTAGCACTGTGACGCGCGTATTAGTACATGTCAAGTCTTACCTGCATATCAGATGTATCACTGTTAACGTGTATCTGTGAGTCTTGTATTTGATTAATGTCAAACCTTACCTGCATATCAGATGTATCACTGTTAACGTGTATCTGTGAGTGTTGTATTTGATTAATGTCAAACCTTACCTGCATGTCAGATGTATCACTGTTAACGTGTATCTGTGAGTGTTGTATTTGATTAATGTCAAACCTTACCTGCATGTCAGATGTATCACTGTTAACGTGTATCTGTGAGTGTTGTATTTGATTAATGTCAAACCTTACCTGCATGTCAGATGTATCACTGTTAACGTGTATCTGTGAGTGTTGTATTTGATTAATGTCAAACTTTACCTGCATGTCAGATGTATCACTGTTAACGTGTATCTGTGAGTGTTGTATTTGATTAATGTCAAACCTTACCTGCATGTCAGATGTATCACTGTTAACGTGTATCTGTGAGTGTTGTATTTGATTAATGTCAAACCTTACCTGCATGTCAGATGCTAATGTTTCATAAATATCTTTTATACAATGCCAATTTCTTCTCCCTAATGTAAAGGCAACACCAGGTAAACTATAGGCACAATGTTTGGCAATTTCAGTGTCAACTGTCTGTGCACGCTGGGGATCAATCATTGACAGATAGTTTTCCAGTAGATCATGCGGGATCACATCCTGGGGATGATAAGAATATTGTCACATGATTAGAAGGGAAACACATTGGGGTACGTCATCAATCACTGTACATGATGGATATAATATTGGTAGAGTCTGTCATGAGATTAGTAGTGACTGCCACTTTGGTTAATTAAATATGTAGGTAGGTAGGTAGGTAGGTAGGTAGTTAGTTAGTTAATTGGGTGGGTGGGTTGGTTCCTGAGTTGGTTGGTTGGTTGGTGCGTGTCTGGTTGGACATGCAATATCACCTGAAGAATGAAGATTTTAAAAGTTACCTAATATATACCAACCAAATGACAAATAGTTTTGACATCACCTATAAATGACCTTGAATCTATTCACAATGAACAGTAAATTATTTTATCCTTTCATAAATTAAATTGTGATCTGTCAACAAAAAGTGTAAAACATCAACAGACAAGCTGTTGATCTCTGGGATTGTAACCATGGGACACAGTATACACGTCTGCTACTGCTTATTTTCATCTGCTTTGTGAAGTTATCGGTTGCCTAAATTACCAGTGATATTATCTACTTACTGTTAAATGACTAATTTTCACTGGGTTTAAATTTCACGGTTTTATCATTTAGATAGTGTTCTATGCTCAATTTTACGTATTCACTGGGTTTTAATTTAGCGCATTTTCCAGTCAGCGAAATAAGCAAAATTAAAACCAAGAGAATAATTAACCCTTTTACAGTATTATATTAATCCAGCAGTTCCATTTTCTGAATACATTGGTCTGATTGGTAAAGATTAATTATTTAAGTTGTGCTTTTTAAAGCAAATGACTGACAGGCTTTCAATTTTAAACCCAGTTTCCCAATAATGTGAAGTACTACAAATCTATGAAGAAGGAATAATTTTAACTAACTTGTTTCCTCCACTGGTCGTCATCGACTGAGCTATCTTCACTTTCTCCCTCACTTGTAGTGCCATCCAATAAATCCTGAGTACTTGTAATCCCATTGACAATTGTCATTGTGTTCTCATTAAGCCGCTGTGGAAGCACTTGCTGACTACCAATATTTGGAACAGTCTCCGTCAACTCATTCACTTCATTCACACTTGCCGTATGCAGCTTCTTATCCTTTGCCGTATCCTCATTCACATCACACACACTGGCAGTCAGGGGGCTGCCAACCTCCTTCACTTCCACTTTGTTCCCTGTTAACTTGCTAACTTCATATGTGCATTTGTTCGCAGGTTCCAGATGAACCTCGGATACTTGTTCAACAAGATCCCCATCACAACTATTTTGAACTTTATCACTGTCTGTTTCAGTATTATCTCTTGAAGAATTATGGTCATTTGATTCGTCCGAAAAGTCTCCAACTGTAACACTGGTTGAAGATGTGTAAATTTCATCGTCGACAGACAGAAGTGGTTCACGCCAGAACATAAATGAATTGAATTCTTCCTTTTCATCAGGTTTTTCTGTTTCACTCGCACTTGCCTCAACCGAAAAAGTTAATTCACCAACTGCCATATGCACATTCTCATCAACTGCAATTTCCTTTTCAGCTTCACTAATGTCGCTTTCCGTTGTCGGTGGACTGCTACTCCGCGTCAAGAAAATCTTGGCTGATGATGATCCCGAACTCTCGTCCACTTCCATGAACATATCCTGCTGTTTATTTTTATGTTTATGAGTCCTGTGAGGTTTATCTGAGGTAGTAGGTTCACACAGTACTTCTGCATCAGCTTTCACTGTAATCGATCCATCAGCATTAAAAGTTAAACCTGTTTTACCAGGATCTGCAAATGTAGAGATGAAGGGACCCAAGGCCTGAAAAGCAGCCATACGCACCTGAAAATAACAATATTTTTTAAAAGTTTTAATATTGAGATTGTTTTGGCATCATTAGGTTATTAGAGACTACACAGTTAGAATATCAACAGATGTGTGGTAGAGGTTGATATAACGATGTACAATCTGA